AGAAGGTAAGCGTTCGTTTTTTGTTGCATGGCGCTGGACGCGCGGGATGCATGCGATACTTGCGTGAAGTTTGAATGTGGCGGCGAGCAGACAGCCGCAGACAGCAGACAGTTTTTTTCAGTGCTGCACGTTCACTCGCGAATGTTGTGTGGACTGTCTGCATTGCCCCACCACGAAAATAACAACTCCAAGGAAGCTTCCAAATTGTTGCCACCAGAGGCCCCCGAGAGCTTTTTTTTTGAGGATACCCCGAGAAGCTCTCATGATGGCTCTGACCTTCAACCCAGGCATGGTGGCGGAACAAGGCGAAGGCCAGTAGATGTGTGAATCAATAAAACGTTGGGAAGTGAGTATACGGAGCGTGCGCACACACAGTGTATCACCTAATATATTATATATATATTATATATATCTATATATATATATATATATATAGATATATATATCTATATGGCTGGTAGTCCTAGTATGCGTGCGCTCAATACGAAACATGATGACGTATAAGTACAAATACCATGTTATCGCCGAAAAACACTGATCTCCATCATAATCATATTATAACAAAACTATCATATTGATCCGCTATGGTTACTTATTGTTCCGTTATCTTGTCTGGTGGTAGGCGTTGAATCGTTGTCGTTATGTTTGGCGCGCCCATATAACCGGATCCACTTTGTTGATCCGCCCACCCTCTGGGATGAACTCACCTTTGACGGACACTCGACGTTACGAAAAACATGATTTGAGCCGGAACCGATCTTCAATTGAAGTGCCGCAGCCGTATATTTAACAGCAAACGGCCGAGAAAGCGAAAAGCACGGTGAGACTTATACGATTATTGGTTGCGATTCCAGTGGTTTCCGAATCCGATTCCGGTTTCAATACAGGCAAAAAGAATAAATAAATTCAGAAATATAAATATATTAGGCCCGAACAGCGCGAACTCGCAGTGCCATCCCGCCCCGTTTCATTCCAATATTGTTTCCAAGCGTGCCTGCTGAATGTTAGCCTGGTATTCGAACGGGCGTGAATTTGAATTTTACGTATCATCGGCACTGCCCCCAAAGATTGCACGTTCTTTTTTGAAACGGGCACCGTTGCTTGTAAAACGATATTTTTTCTGAACTGGCGAACGCTTTTCTGAAACAATTGCTGCGTTTTGTGAAACGGCATTTTTTCTAAAATTGCTGCGCGCTCTTCCTGATCTAGCGGTCGCTCGTCGGTCACTCGCCGCGGGGAACCCTTCGCAACCGGAGTGAAAGAAAAAACGGAACCGAACTGAATGAGAAAGATCCGGGGCGGGGGAAACCTGAATGCGAAAAGGAACCGGGGCAACAAAAAATTGAGAGAGCCGGCGTGGGAGGAATAAGAAAAAACCGGAATAAAAGAAATAGCAAAGAACCGGCATTCGAAAAATGGGGCCACGAACGGAAAAACCGGAAGGAATCGGAATGAGAGGAAAGAGCTGGAATAGCAATGAGAGCCGGGGGAAACCGAAGTGGGTGCTTGCAAAAAAAAACGAAATGCGGGCCGGAAGAGGAAAAACAAAAAACAAAAAGATGGGAAAGAACCGGAATGGGAGAATGGGAAAAAGCCGGAATGGGAATGGGGCCCGGAATGGGAAAAAATTATCGCCATTGTCACTCTGTTCCGGCTTTAGTCGCCATTCCGGTTGGCCGGCCGGACGCCCGCGCCACGCTGGCCGGCAACGCTGCGCCGGCCGGCCGGCCCCAGCGGGACCTCGGGGGCGAGCCCCGGCGTCCTCAAATCCTCCTTAGGCCGGCCCCACCCCGTTCCCTCAACTTCTTTTTCCTCCCTAACTCCTCTCTGGTAGTTCTGGAAACCCGTGGTAGCAATCCCACCAGCCCTTTGGGCGTGAGTGGTTTAGCGAGCTCTCTCTGTTCTCAGCCCCCCTTCTTCCCCTTCGGGGAGGGGTTTACCTCTCCCCCTACCGCTTCTCCCCTGGGCCTGGAGAGGGCGCCTCGCGGGTGGTTGGAGGGGTCTTTTTCTACTCCTGGGAGGGCTAAAAAACGAAACCCCTCACGAAGATTCTCGCCCGGACGGGGGGAGGGAAAAAAAATATGCTCTCCTCATCTGTGATCGATCCACCTATAGATGGCCCCAAGATTCCTCCCAGACCCCTCACAGGGAGCCCCACGAGTCCCCAAGAGGCCCCCAAAATGCCCCGAAGAGGCTCCCAAGAGGCCCCCAAATGCTCCCCCGAGGCACCCACGACGCTCCTGGAAGGCCCTGGAGCTGCCAAGAGGCGCCTAAGACGCCCCAAACGGCATCCACGAGGCTCCCAAGAGGCCCGAAGACGCTCTCCCAAGGCACCCAGCACAGAGGCCGCCCAGAGGCGCCGAAGACGCCTCAAGAGGCCTCCAAGAGGATCCCAAAAGACATCTATTACTACTTCTACTTCTACTCCTACTCCTACTCCTACTCCTACGACTGCGACTACGACTACGACTACGACTACGACTACTACTACTACTACTACTACTACTACTACTACTACTACTACTCTTACTACTACTACTACTACTACTACTACTACTACTACTACTACAAGTCCTACTACGTCTACTACTAGTGCTAGCCCTACTACTACTACTCCTACTACTACTGCAACTACTACTTTTGCTACTACTAGTACTACCACAACCACTGCTACTAGTACCACTGCTACTAGCACTACTGGGACTACTACTATTGCTGCCATGAGTAGTAGGACTACTACTTCTACTCTTACTAAAAGTTCAATTACTGGTACTACCACGACAACTACCACTACAACTACTAAGACTACCATCGTTACTACTGCTTCTAGTACTGCTACTACTACTACGACTACTACTACTACCTTTACTACTACTACTACTACTACTACTACTACTACTACTACTACTACTACTACTACTACTA